TGGTTAAAAAAAGAACAAAACTTCAAAATGAGTTACAACTATTGCATAACTGTCGAAAGTCTGTGGAGCAAAAGTAAGCAACCAAAAGGTTTGAGGCAAGAACAATTCCAGATCAATCCCACAAGAAAATAAGAAATAACTAACCTAAGCTAATACTTATATCCTGGCATAGCTTCAGCATAATCCCACAGCATATGTAAAGTGCATGATGTACAGCACGGTAGCAGATAAGCATAGCATTCTCCTAAAAGATAACTATGATAAACTTCTCTGCCCATTTTATACCCAAATTCTCAGTTTCCAATCTCTTCCAGGGAATCTGCCAATCTGTTAAGTTGCTCTAAACATTCACAAAGAAATTAGTAACCTCCCCCACATCATACATTCACCTGCTTCAATAACATGTACAAAAAATTTATGAAGGAAAATGTTTTCTAATATTTTGCTGAATGTTAACCAGTATGAAATGAATTTAAGGGTATAATGAAATCAACAAACAAATTTGTCTACTTCCTTCCCCCCCCCCACAATTAAGATCTTCCAAGGCTTCAATATAAAAGAAAAGTAATTTGACCAGAATACGAATAAAACACGTTGAAATGTTCCAAGATTATCTTATTTGTTGACAATTTACAATTAAGTAATATATTACTTACTAATGAAGTCACATACCTTACAGCCCTCTAAGGAATTTCTCTTTTTATAACACTTAGATATACAGTACTTTTATAAAAATGAGTGCTTCAGCTTTCCCTGATTTGCAAATATATTAAGCTCTCTGAGGGTTGTGGGGAGAATATACATAAATAACATCACTGAAAGTTTTATAATTATTCTGAAGAATAATTCTTTTTCATTTCTTCACTTAAAAGATAATGTAGGGAGAAGGCAGCCATTCTAAAATGTAGTGGAGGCCGTTCAAAGACACAGTTCTTGTCCTAAGAGCAGATACCCTGGAATGCATTAGATTAATGTTTAACATCACTGGTGATACTGCTGTTGGGGTTTTATTCACAACCTCACATGCTATCTGTAGTTTGTGTCTGGGAGGAATTTTTGGGGGGCTGAAGTGACTGTATATCTACTCAGCACTAAGCTATCCTTCCTTCCAGCCTTTGAATTCAAAGAGAGCCTTGCCTCACTGCTGAGTATTCTTTCTTTCTCTTATCTTTGATAAGTTGGTGGCAGTTTATTATTTATTTATTTATTTAAAATATTTCTATTCCTCCTTTATTCCCAAAAGGACCTAAAGTGGATTAAACCCTTAAAACAGTATTTAAAAGCCAAAAAGAGTATACAAATATTTAAAAAGAATTAAACAAGTATATTACAATGGTAACTAAGATCAATATTCAAACACATTTAAAACAACAGAGAACAATCCATTTAAAACTCCTCTTATCTATCTCCTGAGAAACCTATACGTGGGACAGGAAGCAGCAGTTAGAACTGGATATGGAAAAACTGATTGTTTCAAAATTGGGAAAAGAGTACAACAAAGCTATATATTGTCTCCCTGCTTATTTAATTTATATGCAGAATACTGGATGAATCCCAAAACGGGATTAAGATTGTCGGAAGAAATATTAACAACCTCCAATATGCAGATGATCTCACTCTGATGGCAGAAAATGAAGAGGGATTAAAGAACCTCTTGATGAGGGTGAAAGAGGTGAGAGCAAAAAATGATCTGAAGCTCAACATAAAAAAACACAAAAAACAAACTAAGATCATGACCACTGGTCCCATCACCTCCTGGCAAATAGAAGGGGAAGATATGGAGATAGTGACAGATTTTACTTTCTTGGGCTCCATGATCACTGCAGATGGAGGCAGCAGCCCCGAAATTAAAAGACGCCTGCTTTTTGGGAGGAAAGCGATGACAAACCTAGACAGCATCTTAAAAAACAGAGACATCACCTTGCCAACAAAGGTCCACATAGTCAAAGCTATGGTTTTTCCAGTAGAGATGTATGGAAGTGAGAGCTGGACCATAAAGAAGGCTGACCACCAAAGAATTGATGCTTTTGAATTGTGGTGCTGGAGGAGACTCTTGAGAGTCCCCTGGACTGCAAGGAAAATAAACCTATCCATTTTGAAGGAAATCAACCCTGAGTGCTCCCTGGAAGGACAGATCCTGAAGCTGAGTCTCCAATACTTTGGCCATCTCATGAGAAGAGAAGATTCCCTGGAAAAGACCCTGATGTTGGGAAAGAGTGAAGGCAAGAGGAGAAGGGGACGTCAAAGGACGAGATGGATGGGACAGTGTCATGGAAGCTATCAACTTAAATTTGACCAAATTCCGGTAGGCAGTGGAAGACAGGAGGACTTGGCATGCTCTGGTCCCATGGGGTCACAAAGAGTCAGACATGACTTAATGACTAAACAACAACAACATGAAAACCAGCACTTTGAATTGTGCCCAAAAATAGATCGGCAGGCAGTGGAGCTGCTGTAACAGGGGACTTATATGTTCCCTGTAACCAGCTCCAATTAATCTGGCAGTGACATTTTGGACCCTTTGAAGTTTACAAACACTTTCTAAACACAGCCCCACAAAGAGTGCATTATAGTAATCCAACTGAGATGTGACTGATCACTGTGGCCAGATCAGACGTCTCAAGAAATGGACGCAGCTGGCACACTAGTTTTAACTGTGCAAAGCACTCCTGGCCACCTCTGAAACCTGGACATCCAGGGTCAGAGATGAATCCAGGAAACACCTCCAAACTGCCTGTCTGCATTTTCAACTAGAATATTCTCCTGAAGAAAGCCACACTGCTCATTTATGGGCTTGGTACTGAGATCTAGAACAACTACTTCACTTTCTCCCCCTGCCCAAGACACACTTTGGGCAACACTCTGGAAGAAAGCACCTCTTCAACATCTTCCACTGATCTTTCCTTTGGACAAAATGTTGCTGTTTGACTACAACTCCCAGAATCCCCCCAGCCAATATGCCAAAAAGTAATATTCCCAATCTCTGAAATGTTAGCATATTACTGAACACTTTGCATACTTGTCCTACCTACATTTGGCCAATGGCAGCCTTATGACTTGCTCACCATGTTTTAGACTCCAGCCTTCATTTCAACAATTATCAGGGATGGTAGGACCTGAAACATAGAAGAGGTAGAAGTCATGATGAGCATATTGTTAAGAAAATTCATAAGATTTCATCTTCTTTGCTTTCTACCTCTTCTTCAGTTTCTGTCCTTTTTGACATAAATAAAGCTTGATTAAGGAGCCTAAAATGTTGTGAGAAAGGAGACAAGGAAGGTATTAATCATTTTGGTGTTTCATTTCCTCTCCCAGATACATCTACAGAAATGCTAGCATTTAGTTCCCCTGTCAGGGTTTCATACCTTGAAGAATTAAAATCATTACAGAGGGTGTAATGTACTTTTAATTTTACAGCATGAAAAAATTGTTTACTACAAATGGCACTAATAATATCATTTAAAGAATAACACTTTTTTTGGCAACCAACTGTTCCATTTTGTTTTCCAACGCATATAAAAGATATGGAAATAGTGAATACTGACAACCAATGGTTAACTGGGGTGAATACATTTTGTTTTTCTTCTAGGCATGTTTGATATCATCATTGTTGACAAAGGAGACACCAGTCTCCTCCCAAGCCATTATTGTGGGGAGAGAGGGAAAAGCAAGAAGTGTCAAAGGGAAAAAAAGGGAACAGAAGGAGAATCAACCCAGTGTATGGGGCAACTATGGAATCTGACAGAGGTGCGGCATTACCAGACTACGCCAGGGGGCGCTATGGTGAAATGAACTGCTCAGAGATGAAACCAAACAGACACTGTTGTAGTGTAGGTAGAATTATTTACATTAAAGTTCATATATACAGGTACAAATACAACTTCTCTTGGTCTTTACACAGTCCTGGTCTTTCACGGTAGTTCTTCAGTTTGCAATAGTAAATTACAGGTTCAGTATCCAAAGATTGTTACCAATGTAAATAGTCCAGCATCCACGAAGTCTTCTCCTCTCACCACGGAGATAGTCTTCCTCCAGGACCTTCCACTTTGCAATGTAGCAAGTCTTCATCCAGCGATGCAGCATAAATTTCTTTCACAATCAATGAAACTTATCAACCAAATAAACAGCTCTCAACTACACAACCACCAACTACCCAA